ATGCGGCTCGGTCCGAAGATCATTTGAGCAAATTTTGGAAAATTTTGGACAAATTTTGAAGGAGGAGTAGCGAAAAAACTGTTTTACATTCGCTCCAATATGGCGGCCAGTCACATTGTTGGAAAATGACAAATGAGATATCGTCTAAATCGGCATAAACAAAGGAACATAATGTCATAAAGAACTCAAAATTTGAACAATATTTTCAAATGTTATAAGCGTTTTTTCAAAAAACAATGATATATCTGGAACACTAGGTGGCGCTGTGATCAAACTTCTCATGTCGCTTTAGGACATGGTGTCGGTCATCCCTACCAAATTGTGTGCTGATATGTCAAATAGTTTAAAAGATATTGCAATTTATGACAAAATTCAAAATGGCGGACACGTGGTACATCCCATCATGGCAAAATCGATATCCACGGATTTGGCATGATGCAAGGAATCCATAGATACCACAATTATGATTTTCTGACAAACTGTTCAAAAGTTATTGGCCAAAATAGCAATTTGTCATATCTCATGACCCGTAGGTGGCGCTATTCCCAACTTTGGCATGGGACCTCAGAACATGCTTCCGATGAAGTGTACCAATTTTCGTTTCGATTGATCAAACTTTGGCCGAGATACAGCCTCTTAGCCTATTTTGGGTGGACCTCGTTAAGTTTGCGACATTATAACTTTTTTTTTCCAGTATAACAAAAAAATCGGGAACAGTACTTTTATGCGGCTCAGTCTGAAGATCATTTGAGTGCATGTTTGGAGAAAATTGGACAAAATTTGAAGGAGGAGTAGCGAAAAAACGGAATACTGTACATTTCAAAATGGCCACTACTGTAATGGGCGGGGTCTTAATGTAAGGTATTGGTTGTGATCAGCATGATGAGTGGAATCAGGTGTACCAAGTTTGATGTCTCTAGATCAAAGGGTTTAAAAGTTATAACCATTTCAATGTTGAATTTATGAACTGGTGGTGGCGCTATAGAGTTGGTCCTAGAGGGTCAAAAATTGGTCCAATTACTATTCATTAGCATCACTACAAGTGTGCCAAATTTCATCATTTTCCTACTTACTGTTCATAGGGCTGCCATAGACTCCCATTCACGGAATAATAATAATAAGAAAACCAACAGATACAATAGGTGCCTCTGCACCTTCGGTGCTTGGCCCCTAATAATAATAATAATAAGAAAACCAACAGATACAATAGGTGCCTCTGCACCTTCGGTGCTTGGCCCCTAAAAAGAAAAAGGCAAACAAAGGATTACATAGAAAAAATAAAACAAAAACTATTAGTTCCCGAAGAATTAAAAGTTCAATAAAATGTAAAGAGTGGAAGTGCTAAGACGATAGTAATAGCCTACTACAGTGATGATGAGTATTAATGCCATCAGCTAATTCCTCATCATTAATACTTCAACTTATATGTGACAGCAAGTGGCCTCAGCGTTACACATATATACTACGTAATTATTAATAATTATAATCATTCATGTTGGCAGCTGTAATTTAGAGCTGCATGATTAAATGACATTGATTCGGCTATGTCTATTAAATCTTTGACAAAATCACAGTTTTGACAAAATCACAGCAGAATATTAAAATCTGTGTTGGCGCTGCTGCTGACCCAGAGAGAGCAGTTGTCATGTAAAGGTATATGAGACAACTTCACAGTCTTTCCAACCACTCAGTTTGTGTTAGAGTAATTCAAATGACCACAGACGTCCTGATAAAAGTTAGGATATAATTAAAGCGCTGATGTCTGGTAGCGATCCAAATAGAGTAAATCACTATATGAATGTAACTTGATGCTTTAAATAAAGATTGTATCAATTACATCTTTACACCAATAGGTGGCGACAAGTGACTGTTAAAAATGTATTTTTCATTGCATCATTCATTCAAAAGATTTGTTGATTCATCCAGTAATGAAACAAGTGACGTTTTTATAAGTGAGTCATTGAATCATCCATTCAAACAGTAAAAAAAAAAAAAAAAAAAAACATATATATTTGTTCTAGTAAATGACATGTTATTTTGTTTAGATGTCTATTTAGAATAGTTGGAGAATCATGATTTCTATATTTTAAGCAAAAAAAAAAAAAGACAAAATTATCCAGAATCATCCAGCTCAACTGTAATGTACTAAATAAAGATACCGGAGACCAGTTGCTAAAGACAACAAAAATAGTTACAGTTTTGCTCCAGCAGTTTTATCGAAATAAATTTCACAGTGTAGCATAGCAAGACAACCTGATGTAACCTGGTACTGAACATAACTGTAAGCTCGTGCATGGACTACATCAGTGTCTAACCAAAGAAAAAGAAAAAGAGAGATGAGAGCGATATGAAAGACCGCATCAGAGTGTAACCTGACTGTTTTATCATTTCAAAAAGGAGACAACCTCAGGGGAAACAGTTACTCTAATAATTGAAGGTAGCATAGTACTTTAAGTCATTCAGAGACACAGCCTTTATGTTTTTGCATCCAATCACCAGCTACTAAAGGCAGCAGATGTTTTCCAGGTCAAATGTAAAGGGAAATCCCTTCGGGCCACAGTCACATTGAAACATCTGTTGTTTGTGGATCAGAACTGAAATGACAACCAGTGATGTTCTAAATCAATCTAAAATTAGCCTATTATAAAACATACTGTATTTGTTAACTGAATGTTAGACGAAAATGTTAGACGTTTAAATGAAATAAAACTAAAACTAAAAATGACTAATGAATGAAAACTATTTAGAAATATTAAAAAGCAAAAATGACAAAATGAACATAAAATAAAAAAATGTAATTAAATCAAATAAAAATGTAAGCTAATTCAACATTAATAAATTAACACTGATGACACACTTTCATGACAATTCACTTTTTGGCGAATTGATAAATAATGATTTCATATAAATCCGTATGTGTCATTCATACATTTTTGGTTCCAATTTTGTCCCGAGACTTTACATGAAGAAAAAACAGGAAAAAAAAGAATCTTATCGTTTTCATATGTAAAAAAAGAAAGAAAAGAAAGTACAATATAAAACCAAATGGAAATGTTTAACAAAAATGGAAAATGGAAGTTCAAAATCAGCTCATTTCATGTTTGATAATCACACCATTCAGTCTAATGAGCAGATGTGAGCAGTCTGCAGTCAGGTGATTAGTGTATGAGTGACAGGACCGACCTTTAACTAGCGATAAAGACTCACTGAGGCCAGAGTCAACAGGGGTTTCCACTCACAATGCTCACCGCTGAGAACTGTGGGTCGCAGCAGTCTAACATACTAATTAAAAGGCTCCTTAAAGCAATGCCTCATTATGCTTATTAATACCGTAATTAATCCTGTAATAAAGTAGATAAGCATAATTTAATTCGGGGTCAATGCTGATTAGTTGAATTATTCATAAGTTTTAGTACAGTCCTCCACTCATGCAAACAGAATCCAAACTGTTAACCATTATTCTAGGATCCACCTGGTCATAATGGCCTGTTGATCTTTTCCATTGCCATCTACAACTAAGCTCTGTGTGTGTGAATTGACTCCTGATTCACAACATTTTTAGCGACCATACAGCCGCTAAAGCGACTAAAGATGAATTGTTCTATGCGCTGGTTGCTATGGAACCTTGTCTCCACAGAGAAGAGCCCTTGACATTGTTGAAAGCACTCTACTAGAGAACATAAACAAGTGCTTTGGCACTGTGTGTGATGCTGGACTTCAAGCTGTGGATATACAGGCTCCTGGTGTGTGACTCTATCAGATGATGTTCAACAGAATGAAATGTTCTTCATTTAATTATTTTATTTATTTATTTATTTGTGAATGCGTCTGCGCTCCTGTGAACATTTTTACTGAGAAAACTGTTATCTTGTCAATTATGGAAAGTGTTGTTACATAATAAAAGAACTCATTTAGCTTAATTGTTCAACTTGTGGTGTAATAATCTCATTAGCCATTGAGACACTGTACAACATAGGCTCTTTGGAAACACAAGCCTCTACCTCTATTTTTGCAAAACTCCAAAAACGTATACAATTCACTTCAGTTTCCAACATTAGAGGCAGTAAAATGCCAACAACTTTTATCACACAAAGTATGATTATAGGGCAGACTACTGAATAATAAAGACTTATTTTCGCGTGGCTCCTTGCCCAATAACACAATGACCTCAAACCACTTTTATATGCATGGATTGTGATACAGTATTTAACTGTTCCCATAGCCAGCTCCATATGTAAGGCTTTTCTGACATAGTAAACTTGCTTGGTAGCTCACCTGGTACAGCTTTGGGACACAAATAGAGCTATAAAGAAGCAAGCTTAAATGAAGCATTTTTATGCTTTTGTTAACACTGTCAGTCTAGGTTTAGGGTAGGGTTTAGGTGCTACATTATTTTTAAACACAACAGAGCATTAACCTTTTAGTGCCACTCTCTAGACATTTGAATTCTAAACCTCATCAATACATACAAATGTTGCTAGATTCACGTTCATCTTTTTTTAGCCCCACTCAGTGGATATTTCACTTTGAAAGTGTCATGAAACTTGCAAGAAGCAATGCCATATCATTTTGTAGAAGCCACAGGTACACCACTGGTACGAAATGTAATCTCTACTGAAACTTGAGCATTTATGGATGATGAAGTCACAGGTACTGCAGTGCTCTATGTCTCCTGAGGGAAAAGATACGAGTAGGGAATGACAGCAAACCAGCTGAGCTGCTGACAGCAGGACCCTGGAGAAAATGTTCTTTGTAATACAGTGAAACAGAATTTTGGACAGAAGAAAGAAGTTAGGTAGAAAGCTAGCAATTGGGAGCGAAAGAATCTAAGAGAGACGCATGGACCGCTTTTCTTTAACAGACAACTTCATAGCTTCCTCTTTCAGAGACCTCAAGTGTTGGCTTCTATTCTTTGAGTGTCCTGATGTCATTAAAAGGTCACCCTCTTCCAAGGCTCCAGAATCGCATTGTGTTCCTGCTGCCACTGCCAAAAGTGTGTCTTTTACATTATAGAGCAGGTGAATCCACAGCACTCTTTCAGTAAAGTGAGGCCAGTCTTGGTTGCAAAGGGAGTAGTGTTCTGCTGGGCTCTGGGTCTCCTCCCAACATCTACAGAAGAGGTTCATAGACAAAGAGCTTTTTATACATAAAGATGCAGTGAGTTTACCAAGGGAAAATGTGTAGGTTTTATCATGGTGAGGACAGTTAGGATATTTCCCCACCCACCCTAAGGTTATAAAAATGCAAAATATGATGGGTTTACTGTAATTATGATATACATTTTTACCAATCAAAAGTTTGAGGGCGGTGTGATTTATTTTGTTTTTGAAAGAAGTATCTTATGCTCACCAAGGGTGCATTTATTTGATAAAAAAATATGAAATACTGTGAAATATTATTACAATTTAAAATGACTGTTTTCTATTTTAATACATTTTAAAGTGTTATTTAAAGCTGAATCTTCAGCAGTCATTACTTTGTAATCATTATAATATGCAATATTATAATATGTTATTAATATATATAATGTTTGGTGCTCAAGAATTTCTTATTATCAATGTTGAAAACAGTTGTGCACCTTAATATTTTTGTGTAAACAATGACATAATTTTTGTTCAGGGTTCTTAGATTAATAGAAAGTTCAAAATAACAGTATTAAATAAAGAAAAGAAATACATTATAAATGTATTTACCATCACCTTTGGTAAATTGAATGCACCCTTGCTAAATAAAAGTATTCATTTATTTTAAGAAATCTTAGTGAACAATATTGTATGCAAATCAGATTTTTTCATAATGCTTTTCATGTAACTTTGAATTTCTTTGTCTAATGCAACATTGACACTGTCCCAGTTTGCCCACAGTGTTTTATTAAACTGGGACGTTGCATTATTGGTGAACTGGGAAATCCACTTATGTCATTTTAATGAGGGGAATGGTACTTGACTGTCATAAGAGTACAATTTCTAATCATATAATTCATGCGTGTTAAAAAAATGGCTTTTCAGATTTAATAGTTAGCTCTACTTGTATGCTGACCCATTCACTATAATAATCAAGCACATATTTCAGAATCCACAATAAACAGTAAAGGAAGTACAGGCCAATGAAGGCGTTAAATCAGCGGAATCTAAAATTGCTTTATTGCTGATAAGTTGTGTAATAATGTTGTGTTATTATTATTATGCATTTTATTAATTACATTTAAAAACAAATGTTGACAGTTTGCCAGAAAGGGCTGGGAAATTGTGATTTGAGGTCTTTATTTTTGATTTGAATATTTTTTATAGCCTACTGAAATATTTAAAACATAGACAATGACAAATGATTAGAAAGACATTTAAATTAACATTAAACATTAAAATAAACATTACTTTGTTCAACCAACTATAAAAGAACGACTTACTCTTGGTTTGAGAGCTTTTTGGTAATTTGGACTTAAGAAACTCAGCCATCTCTTTGTCCTCCTCCCGTTCCCTGTGTAGCAGAGGTAACTATGATGATTATGGTGCAAAGCATTATGTGAAGACTGACTATTTCATTCATTTTTGCATGGTTTTCATGTCCTTCAGTTAGTTCAAGGTTTGATATTACTGCTGGGAAATGTAATCTAAAAATCTAACATGTGCAATCATTTATCATGCATTTATGTTTCTTTATTTATTCATAGTATTCTGCCGGCTTTAAAAAAGACTTCTGCTCAGTGGAAGTGAATAGTTTGCAACTTGTTCCATGACTTCTATTTCATCTTTTCAGAATTGGCTGGTAATGGACCTACAAAGAGCCGGAAACAGGATGGTCACTGCATCTTTAACACCAGCTGGACTAAAAATACACTCAGTGCTGTTCGGTCTTTCCTCATTTGATACTTCTTAACATGGTGCTGCAATATAGTTCTTTAGCACCCATAATAAGAATTTACTAAAACTGGAAGAATAGATGAAAATAATACATTAAATATTTTGGGATGAGCTGCCTTTAAATTATGTCAATATACTACCATAATTATAGACAACCCTAGGAAAAAGTTTATTCAAGTGTGATATTTGTATACTTATTATATTAGTTATTACTTTTATACTTTCAGTCCACTTTTTATGTACTTCTCAGAAATATACTTACACTGCACTAAATTGCACTAAAGTATACTTGACTTACGTATACTGACATAAAAGTCTAATATAGCCTACTTACAGTACGAGAAAAAATATAATTAAGTCCAAGTCTAATATACTTACGAGATATACTTAACAATATATATTATATTATATTATATTATATTATATTATATTATATATATACAATATAACAAAGTATTCTAAGTATACTTGACTTGTAGTTGTGTTTACTCTTTTGATTGATTAGCCTATTAGGCTACATACTTTTTTCCACATAGTTTTACATAGGCTACTGTCTTATAAACTTACATTGTTTGAAAATATTGAATTCTAAAGAAAGCAGATATGTTCCTAATTCTAAATGTTGTGTAGGCTAGTCCACTGGTAGAGTCATTTACTTCAAATCTATACTTTACTCTTTCCCCGCCATTGGCTGAATTTTCCAGCTATCCATGTTTTCACTGTTTTACGGTAGCGGGCGCTATAACGCATCTTCTGAAATAGTACAGAATCTCTGGATCAAAGCACAGGCAAAGAAGAAGCAGAAACACGTGAGATTGCTTACGTAAATGTAAAATAACGCGATCATCAAACATTAAAAAGCATAAGTTCAAAACGTTACAGAATGAAATAGGCTATCGAACTCATGAAGAGGGAACGTCTGTGAAGCTTTGGGGGTGTTGATGGACTCGATCTGCTCCATCTGTGTTTTGATCATGGTTCTGAATCCCATCCGGACTTAGATTAGATAGATTTAAAAAATAGATTTTCTCAGCTTTTTGTTTAAAATGTTGCTTTTTTCAAATGAAGCTAGAATAAAATGTTTTGTTTTTTTAACTTAAAAAAAGTTACTGTACAGTTAAAGGTATATTTCAAGTATAAAAAATTAATAGGCTACCTGAATAGAAACAGTAAAATACTGTTCTGTAAAAATACTGTAATGTAATGTTCACTTAAAGAAAACTTACAAGTATACTGCAAGACAAGTATAAAACTAATTGTTTACTGAGAGTATAATTCAAAGTGTACTTGCATAAACTATAAAATGAGCTACAAGTATTTGACTGTACTAAATTTTACTAAAGTACTAAAGTAAAGTACTAAACTGTATAATGTATTTGACTGTACAAGTAGTATTTGACTACTTGTACTTGTAGTATAGTTGCAGTACAAATGAAAAGCTTAGTTGTAAACTAGTTGTGTACTCAAAGTTTACTACTTTCACTACTAAACGATATGCGTGAGCATTCTGTCCTTTTCAGTGTTTTATCTTCCTGTTTTTGGTTCATTTGCATGTATTTGGTTCGTGTTGCGTTCATATATCATTCGAACCGCACCAGAGTTTGTTTGGAAGTGGACCAAGATCCATCTTTTCAGCGGTCTCGGTCCGCTTGTTTGGTGCGTATAGGTTCGGATGGCACCGTTCACACTTATTCAAATGAACCTCAATAACAGAGCAATCGCACCAGGGTTCGTTTTAATCGAACCAAACATGCCAAGTGTGAACACACCCTAAAAAGTGGTGTCCCACGTAGTATTGAAACAGTACACTTACAAGTATACTTCTAGTACATTGATATTAGTTTACGTACAAGATAAAATATACTTAACAATATACTTGAACTTTACTTAAGTATAGTTAATAAAATGAACTTGAAGTAGCCTATAATTATTTTTCGTAAGGGAAGGCAGAACATAGACATATAAACAGTGAGTCCAGATTCAATCACAAATTTGTGCAGATGCCACAAGCACCGAGCAGAATTTCCTGAATTAAATTCCTTTAATCACTGCAGCATGGCTTTATTACAAATAAAATCCTATTACTTATGTACATAGAGTGTGAGTAATGTTTTTTTCCCCTCAGGCCTTCGACAGAATCCTGTCTGCCTTGGAATTGAGCTCAGTCAGAGATTTAATAAAGGGTGCAGATGAATTGTGTGTCAGCCTCCATCTTTTTCCAGCATTGCTGAAATTGGCTCACCTGAGGCGCTCAAACTCCACGTCATCTACCAGGAAGTCTCTTGCCTCCACTAATTTATGAATCTGTTTCAGAAACTCTTCCTCCTTCTGTTTGTCTTCATTAGACTTGTCATTATCTGAAAATGGATTTTAACACTTACTCTAACAGAAAAAAACAAAACAAAATAATCTCTGCAAAATGAGGTTGGGATTTAGTGGTTTAATTAGTAGTGCATGTTTTCTTGCTGTGCTACTTTTAGAAAATTGTAAAACATTTCAACAAAGAGAGAGATCTCTAATCTCTAACTTTAGTAACGGTACAGTGAAAGGGACTTTCAAATCGGTAAACTGTAAAAACAAAAACATTGATCGCTAATAAAGGTTTACTTGTCCTATTTATTTATTTTTATTTTTGATGTAATATATGCCAGAGGCATTTCCAGATCTCACCTGGGATAGACAGAAGCTTTTGAAGCTCTTTCTTCAGTCTTGTAATTTCTTTACATAACTGGATATCATCCATCCTGCAAAGTAAAAGGACACGCAAACATGTTAAGTTCATACTGTTCTAAAGCATGAGAAGCGTTTAAATTCTTGACTAAAAACAACACCAATGATAACCTATAAAGCTGGTAACCTGCTTCATTTCATAACATTTAAATTAATTTATTTTATTTTACTCTAAATGAAAAACGTCTCGGTTACGGATGTAACCCTCGTTCCCTGAGTAGGGAACGGAGACGTTACGTTGGATGACGGAGAATGGGGGTTTCGCCAGAAAGCCTATCATCTTCGAATATTATAAAACGAGCCAATGGCGATGAAATGCCATGGGTCTGCGGAATTTGCATAGTGTATCTCCGCCCCACCGCGTGGGTATATAAGGATAGACACCGGCAAAGGCAGATCATGTCTTCGCTGAGGAGCCGAGACTGAACTCAGGCGTCTACCCAGCGGTACAGCGGAAGTGGGAGGGTGACGTAACTCAGGGAACGAGGGTTACATCCGTAACCGAGACGTTCCCTTTCGTAGTCACTCCGAGTTACGTCGGATGACGGAGAATAGGGGTCCCCATGAAATCACGCCATCTTCACAGCTGTCTTCTAGTGCCCTGCGAAAGTCTGACCTCCCTGTCGTGATATAGGCATGGACGAAGGAGTCCTACTTAACACAGGAATACAAAGGTACACTGGGAAGCATATCTCAGGGGAAATATGCTGCAGCACGCCTACCCGTAGGGAGGACTTGAGAATAAAGAAAACCTTCAGGGTGGAGGGACACAGCCTTCGCTCCAACCCATCTTGCAGGAAGGAAAGCACGACACTGATCGAGCATCTCCTGGGGTCTTCTCGGTGAGAAGAGCACCAGTTGACGAAGAGGTTACACTTTAACGCGTAGACATGTCTCATGGACGATGCTCTAGTGGAAGTGATGGTAGCCGCCACCGCTGGTGGCAGGGTACTCAAACCTGCCTCGTCCCGTCCAGGAGCCACACGTGGAGGTTCCAAAGATCGGGACGAGGGTGCCATAGGGTGCCCCGTCTCTGAGAAAGGAGGTCCTTCCTCAGAGGAATTGGCCAAAGAGGTGCTGTCGCGAGGAGTATCAGTTCGGAGAACCAGGTCCGGGTGGGCCAGTACGGCGCAACCAGAATGACCTGCTCCTCGTCCTCCTTGATCTTGCACAGGGTCCGTGCGAGAAGGCTCACTGGGGGAAATGCATATAAGCGGAGGCCCCGCGGCCAGCTGTGCGCCAGTGCATCCGTGCCGAGCGTGCCCTCGGTCAGGGAGTAATACAGGGCGCAGTGGGATGAGTCGTGGGAGGCAAACAGGTCTACCTGTGCGTCCCCGAACTGGTCCCAAATCAGCTGGACCGACTGGGGATGGAGTTGCCATTCGCCGGAGATGGGCCGAAACCGTGACAGCTCGTCGGCTGCAAAGTTCCGATCTCCCGGAATGTAAATAGCACGAAGGGACCTCAGGTGCTTCTGACTCCATAAGAGGAGGTGGCGTGCGAGTTGCGACATACGGCGGGAGCGTAGACCACCCTGACGGTTGATGTACGCTACTGTCCCGGTATTGTCTGAACGGACTAGTACGTGTTGACCCTTGAGCAACGTGTGTAAACGGTGCAGGGCAAGGCGTACTGCCAGCAACTCGAGGCAATTGACATGCAGGCAACGCTGGGGTCCTGTCCAGGAGCCCGCGGCAGCATGTCCATTGCACACGGACCGAGAACTCTGTGACAGAGGGGGACGAGAGCGGCAAGGCCCGGGAGCGTCGCACACTGTCGTCCGGCCCTCTGGGGGCTCAGAGATGGGATGCAGCTCTTTGGTTTAGAAAAGATTCTCCCCCAGCCCTCCACCGGGGGAAGGAGTGGCCCTGCAACCATTCCCTGAAGAACTGCAACCCACATCTGAGCTTCCCATAACGGGAGCGCCGCAAAGCCTGGCGTTCAGCGGGGCTGGTACGGGCAGGGGCGCCTTCCTGCGACCACCTCCACGGCCAGCCCTGGTGCTGCTGGGGGCCGGGCGGGAGGGGGCGGAATTCGCAGGAGGGCGCATTCGGCAGCAAGCGGACTGAGGCGTCTGAGCCGGCGGCTGGAGGCAGCAGATAGCCGCGGGGTCAGACAAAATAGCCACAGTCCACTTCTGGGCGGTCGAGAACTGTTGGGCAAAGACCTCGACCGTGCCGCCGAAGAGGCCAATCTGGGATATGGGGGAGTTGAGGAAACGTATTCACTCAGCCTCGTGCACATCAACCAGGTTAGCCAGAGATGTCTGACCACCTATGTGGACATCACCTGACTCAGGGAGCGTGCCGTCACATTCGTCGCTCGTAGAGCAAGGTCTGTGACGGCAGGCAGCTCAAGGATGAGCCCTGAATCAGCCCTACCCTCGTGCATGTCACTGAACACCCAGAAGGATGGCAATAACACGCAGTGAGCTGGCAGCCTGCCCCGCAGCTCTATAGGTCCCCGCCACCGGAGTAGACAAGAACCTGCAGGCATTGGAGGGGTGCTTAGGGTCGCCACGCCAGGTGGAGGCGCTGTGGGGACACATAAGTGTCGCCACAGAACACTCCACAGGGGGAACCCCAGTGTACCCTAGGCCGCGGCCTCTACAAGGGCAGAGAAGGCGGAAGAGTCCACTGAGCAGTCGCGAAAAGTCAAAGGAGACTTCCACGAATAGAAAGGATTTGGGTTTGCCACCCCCAAAAACCAATCATCAGCCTTAAGTGCTCGGGACATGGCAGAAGGTTCCACACAAGCCCGATACTCGCGGCAGCCCGGGAAATCATAGCTGTGAACCCTGGATCAAACTCGTTATGCTAGCACATCCGAGGACGGCAGCACAGACGAGCCATCATCTCTAGAGGACTCCAGTTCACCTTGTGATGCGGCGATATACATGATTTCATCAGCCGGGGGACCGAATGAGATGGGTTGCAATGCACGCGGGTTGCAATGTGAAAGACGGGGTGTGGACTGAGGAATTTCCATCGGTTTAGTTCCAGACCTGCCGTCTTAGGTCACCCTGGCCACCAGCCGAAGTATTATCTCACGTGGAGAAAAATAGATCGGGGTGTGGATGAGGGGACTCTCACTCTATTGAGCTCATCGAGTCTCGACCGTTACATTGCGATGGTCACGTTCCCACTGAGAGAACGTGACACACCCACGAGCGCTGTCTGAGCGCGATCAAAGCCCAAACACTCAAAACAGCGCCCATCAGCTGAATCTATCAGAATACCGCACTCAGAAATACACGGGCAGATCGTTTTTAGAAAGACGCGTCTTTAAAAAGACGTGCCGCGTGCAGCTCTTTAGTGAGAGGAAAAACTCTGCGGACGTTGAAGCGACCAGGGGGAACACACAGACAGGCAGACCACTGCTCAGATCGCAGGCAATGTGAAACTCGCTGGATACCGCCGTCACACCAACACCGGAGAGTTTGTTCGTCTCGAAGAGATGTAGTCACTGAAGAAAACTCAGGATTTGGCTTGTGGAGTGAAGAGATGCTCTTGGCTCCGAAGCGAAAACATGATCTGCCTTTGCCGGTGTCTCTCCTTATATACCCACGCGGTGGGGCGGAGATACGCTATGCAAATTCCACAGACCCATGGCATTTCATCGCCATTGGCTCGTTTTATAATACTCGAAGATGATAGGCTTTCTGGCGAAACCCCCATTCTCCGTCATCCGACGTAACTCGGAGTGACTACGAAAGAGAATGTTATTTAACATCACTGAACCAACTTAAATATACTAGGTTAAACCAACAAAGCTAAATTTAAGTGTAGGATCGGGTAAAAATAGTTGGCGATAACACTTTGTAAAGAAACATTACGCGTTAAAACAGTAGGCATTATTCTACCATTTACTGTACATTTAAACAGTGATTTTCTGTTGTCTAATGCCTCATTATGTTGAAAGTATAATTCAATGAGTTGTCAGAAAGCCAGATAGTTATTTAGAATGCATTTAGTCCGTAAACCTGTTTGCTCATGTCAACATTCTTGCCAATATCACTGTTTGCTATATAAATCCGCATTTCAGTCCCATTTTAACGAAAATATGCAGGATAATGGTGAAGCTGTAGCACAGGATTTCTCTCTATATCTCTCTGGTTTAGTTGAGACAGGCAGTTGAGGCTGAGCACCAATCAAACACTCGTGAAGAAATGCCCCACTGGTTTTGTAATAGGCAATGCTCTTCCCCAAACGATTGTGAGGGGAAACCGATATACATGCATTAGACACTCTGGCAGCATCAAAAGCAAAGCATTAGCATTTTAATGAGGGGCAGCTGGCTGATTGTAGCTCTTGTTAATGGGAATAAGAAGGACGGATGACTGTAGATGTGATCTCAGATCAACTTTACAAACCGCTCAAGGCTTGTGAGTTTGACTGTTGACTATCATTTATAATTGACAAAACAGTTTTTTGTTGCATTCATTAGTAGTTCATTGTCCATGTAGTCATTGTGTTTTATTATATCTGGAGTGTGAAAATGTATACTAATAAAATAATATTCATATTATTGTAATATTGTTCTGTTTTGGTTTTATTTTTAGTGTTCTGTTCCTGTTTGCCTGTGTTCCCTTTGCTCTTAGTTTGACTCCATGGTTTTTGATTGAGCTTGCGCATGTTTCTGGTTACGTTAATTATCCCTGTGTGTATTTAAGCCCTTACATTTGCATTTATGTTTATGTGGTTGTGATTTCTTATATTCCTGAGTATTTGCTATTAAATATAAAGCTGGTTAAAATCTCCTTGGTCGTGTGATTTCTATAGCCACCAACCCGAACCAAGACTGGATTTATTTTTTAGGCTTTTTTCTCCCGTTTCACTATTGACCTGCCGGCCATCCAACTGGTCTGCCTTGAGCAAAAGGACCATTAACTTTTTTTAACCCACCAGCCTCAGCGAGCAGTCCAAGGTACGGTTCAAAGTGAACAGTCCTCGGGAAAATTTTGGCGCATATGTGGAGTGGGTGCTGGTGAATACTAGATCGGCATTTGACATCTGTCCTGCTGATGACGACATCACCAGCCCCACTCCGAACCAAGAGTCCAGCCAGCCACCGCCCACACACTGCACGGAGCTAACATTAGAGACCAAATCTACTGCTACGCATGAGCCAGTGCCAGAGAAGAGGACTAAGCCAACCATCGCCCAAACCCCACATAGAGTCTGTCCAGGTGCATGACAACACTGTGAGTGAGTGAGCTGCAGCTGTCCTCTGCAAATATTTATGAAGATTTGGAATAGCATATTTCCCTGATTCTCCCATCCCTACTGGTCCCACCCAGCTCTAAGTATTCTGTGTCTCCATTGGATCCACCCAGCTCAAAGTCTCATGTGTTCCCGCTGGTTCCATCCAGCTCAAAGTCTCCTGTGTCTCCAGGGTTCCACCCAGCCTCCCTCTCCCACCTCCTCTTCCAAAATCAGACAGTCTGTCAGCCCCACCTCTGCTGATTTCCTTCATCCCCTCGACTTCTCCTCTAATACCACTCTATTGTGTGGACCTACCTAGCTCCGCCCAGCTAAGAGGATCCCCTGGCTCTGCTTCCAGCCTCTGAGCCCATCACTCCACCTCGTCCTGTCAGCTCCTCCTTGGCTCCTCCCTCCCTCGGCTCCACCTGGGACCATCGTCCTTATTGCTTCACCGGGCTCCCTCGTCCCTCCGGCTACGCCTTAGTCAGTCGTCACCCTGTCTGCGCCGCAGACTTACGGGCCTTCAGCTACGCTTTGTCCCTCCACCTCTTAGGCTCTGTGGGGCTCCGCCTTCTCTCCGGGTCCAACTTGGTTGCTAAGCCACATTCCTCCGGTGCCCTGATTCCACCTCGGATGCTCGTCGCTGTGGCTCCGCCTCAGTCTCCAGAGCCATTGGTGTTGTGTGATCACTTCAGCTCTCCATCTGCACCCTGGTCTCCTCTTCCATTGGCTCTATCTCAATAAGTCATCTCCCTGGTGTCATCATTTAAACTTGGCTTCTCCCTCCCTCAACTTCGCCGTGGGACATCGTCCTGGCTGCAATTTGGTTGCCCACCTGGCTCCTCCTGCTCCTGGCTTCTCCCTGGCTCCTCCTTCCCTCCACTCCCCCATGGACTGTTCTGCCTGCCCCTGATGCCCCCACATGCCTGTCCAGCTCCATATCCTCCACCTGAGCCCCCACCCTCCTCTGTTTGACTGTTACGGCGCTATTAAATATAATTCTGGTTCAATTCTACTTGGTCATGCGATTTCTACAGCCACCAACCCTGACAATTATATTAATATTACAATATTTTATATAATTTTAATATTAATTATAATAATCTATTAATCAAAAAACAATAACATGGCTACACTATAAACTCAAAAAGTGTTTGATGTAAAAAAAAATCAAACATAAATATTAATATGTAAGGTATTCTATCTAAATCTATAGTCAGCAGGATATTATCACAAAAAAATAAACCCAGGCAGGGTGATCTGGGCACATTTATTAAATTGCTACCTACAAAATAAATACATAAATGGCACCCGGATAATTGATTCACGGGTTTAGAAAGAGACTGCAGAGTGATTCAAGAAAAATTTAAGAAATCAGTTGCCTGGGACAACAATGAGTTGTACAGATTAAATGGACATTCACACCAAGGATGATAACTATAACTACAAAATTTTAAAGACACAGAGGAATGATATCAATGGAATCACTTTCAGAATGATACAGCTGATGAATGATAAAAAAAAGAGCTTGAGCATTTAATGCAGGAGACAACATAACTGCAGTGCTGGCTGGACGCTAATATAATTATCATTAGTTATCTTTATAGTTATCGTTCTTGGTGTCAAAGAGCAATTATACAAAAAGTATATGACAGAATTCTGAAACTGACCAATCAGAATGAAGTGGGGACATGTAGTAAGTATAAATACAGGGTCCAAATTTAGGTTCCATATGTCTAAGACAACACTGAAAATATGCTGTTCAAATTCTAATTTAAACCTGAAAATACAATAAAAAATTTAAGATTGAAAGAAAAATAAACCCACAAAATGTTGGGGTCTATTGTTTTAATAAAGAACATACAATTCAAATTGTTAATTAATTTGATATATATTGACACTTCCAGTTACTTTTAATAAAAAGAAAAAATGAAAACAAACAGCTTTGTCATAATTACAGCAGAGCATACCACCATATAGCTTGTATGAGGGGTCTTTGATTAATTAGAGTTCATGTCAGTTCAAATGCTGCTGACATTAAAGAAAAAAAAGATGAAATTCTGAAATTCATGTACGCCAACATTTTTCAATTAAACGTTTCAATGTTGTCCCTGATAACATAATGTGTAATACAAAAGAAGAAGCATTTTCACTAGTGGTTACAGATATTTGGGCCCCACAGTATATATTATAGGTATTTACATGTGAAAATCAGTTTACTCACATGTATCTGAGCTCAGATTCCCTCCTGACCAAAATGTCTCTGATCCGTTCAATCTTACAGAGTTCCCCCTCAATGTCTCCCACTGTGGTAGTAGAGTCCGCCATTGAGACCACATCTGCCTCTGTAAAAACAGAAACAAGAAGATCTGGTCTGAAACCCCACTGATCACAACCACAAGGAGATGAATACAGCTCAAATTGCGTTCTATAGAAAACATCAGATTTAATGCAATGTCTTCTCTCTCAAGATTAGCAGTGCTTGTGGAGAATTTATGAAAAGTGAGGTACATTTGAAGATGCACCAATCAATAAACAACCACTGAGCCTCTTTAAATACCACATGTAAAGGAAGTGCAAGTGTAAAGTAAACCTATATACAATTCCTTCAGGTCTATCATTACTACCTTCTTCCTTTTCTTTAATAGATACTTGACCTCTTAAACCTTAAACCTCTTCACAAACTTCATCTGTATCCCTTCTGCACCAATGAATCAAAGCTTTAGCAGCAGCAGAAAATTGCAGCATGTCGAGGTTACCATCCTCGGCTGTCACACAACAAATTATTACTTGCACGGGTTTAGGAGGCCTAGCATAACTCTTCGCCTGATCCTACAATTGGTAATGTCACTGCTACTTTCTCATGAGTGGCATGGAAACCATTATGCAAGGCTAAGGGTAATACGTTCTGTCAGTTTTACATTTACATTTACATTTAATCAGATGCTTTCATCCAAGGCAAATTAGAATTGAGGAAACAGAAGCAATCAAACCAACAATAGGGCAACAATATCAAAAGCATCGTAAGCCTAAGTAGATTGTAGAACCATTGGGACCAATGGTCTCTACGATCAACTTAGCTCACAATGATTTTGAGAAACGCAGCCCTGGCCAATATACAGTGGTCTGTTACTAGAAAACAAATGAAGATGCTCTATATTATTTGGAGAAATATTTAAATAATAATAACAAATAATATAATATTCATTGTGGGCTCTCGTCAGTGTGTACGTTGTGTTGCTATTCTAAGTTGAAATTTGCCTTGTGGATTATTAAAACCTGTTGTACTTCATCTTTATCGTTGTGCGTATGCCTGTTTTCGTTTGTTATGGACATCCCTGCTGTGAAGCTACTGTGCCTTGAGCAGGGAGAACTCTCCCTCGTGGCTCACCGAGAGGATTTCCTCGATCTGGCCTACCTAACGACTTTCCCGGACGACTGCCTCATCTCGTTTCTGCTCACTGGACTGAACACATCAATACGAGAGCAGTTGTATGGGGAGGCTCCTCGAGGGAGCTTCGCCGCCTTTGTGGAGTGGGTGCTGGTATCCTGTGGATCTGCATTCATCGTGAATGACCTGCCCCACTCCCAACCCAGTGCCCAGCCCGGGCCCATCGGACTGTGTGGAGCAGCATATTAGGCCGCAGACGTCGAGCCCTTCTCTGCCACGAACTGTGAGCCAACACCTTCCAAGGAACGTGAGCTGAACATCGCCACGGAGCCTGAGTTGCGCAAGTCTGACCAGGTGCGCGTGCCGGGTGGGCCATCTGCCGCCAAGGGAGTGTTTGTGGAATCAGAAGGCAAGGATGAGAGCCCCGCCTGCCTTCCCACCACTGAGAGTGAGACTCTGGCAGCACTAAATATTGACTGTGAGAGAAAATAATTCCCATCTTGTTCGCAGAATCTTTTTCATCTGTCTCGTCAGTCCCACCCAGCCTCCCTGTCCCACCATCTCTCTTAACCACTATAAAAGATTTGACTGGTCTCATTGGACTATTTACAATTCTCCAGTTTCGTCCTCAGCCACTCCTGCCAGTCGTCACTGTCTCTCACCAATCCATTTGTGTCCTCTCCTCTTCTCAGTGGCGTGGTTCAACCTTGGGGTTTCACCTGCTGGGAGCCATCTCCTCCTGGGCGAGAAGAGCCAGTGACTCCGCCTACAGCCTCAGCGGACTCCGCTCCTCCTCGACCTGTCACCCTGGCTCCTGCGCTCCTCCCGCCCTCGATTCCAGTACTTGCCACTGCTCTCCGGCCCTCCAACTCTTCGACTACGGCCCACGCTCAGCCTTCCCTCAGGTTCCGCCTCCACCCTTGGTCGCTCCAGCTCGCCCTCTGGCCTTCAGAGTTCAGACCCACACTTCCATCTTGGGAGGTCGTCTCTGCATTATCCTGCTGAAAGAGGCCACAGCCAGCAGGGAATACAGTTTCTATGAAAGGGTGTACATGGTCTGCAACAATGCTTAGGTAGGTGGTACGTGTCAAAGTAACATCCACATGGATGGCAGGACCCAAGGCTTCCCAGCAAAACATTGCCCAAAGCATCACACTGCCTCCGCTGGGTTGCCTTCTTCCCATAGTGCATCCTGGAGCCATGTGTTCCCCAGGTAAGCGACGCGGCCATCCACGTGATGTAAAAGAAAACATGATTCAGGCCTCCTTCCATTGCTCTGTGGTCCAGTTCTGATACTGTTGGAGCTTTCGGCGGTGGACAGGGGTCAACATGGGCACCCTGACTGGTCTGCGGCTATGCAGCCCCATATGCAACAAACTGCGATGCACTGATTATTCTGACACCTTTCTATCAGAACCAGCATTAACCTCTTGAGCAATTTGAGCTACAGTAGCTTGTCAGTTGGATCGGACCACACGGGCCAGCCTTAGCTCCCCACGTGCATCAATGAGCATTGGCCGCCCATGACCCTGTCGCCGGTTCACCACTGTTCCTTCCTTGGACCACTTTTGATAGATACTGACCACTGCAGACCGGGAACACCCCACAAAGAGCTGCAGTTTTGGAGACGCTCTGACCCAGTCGTATAGCCATTACAATTTGGCCCTTCTAAAACTCGCTCAAATCCTTAGGCTTGCCCATTTGTCCTGCTTCTGAATCAACACATCAACTTTGAAGACAAAATGTTCACTTGCTGCCTAATATATCCCACCCACTAACAGGTGCCGTATAATCAGTGTTATTCACTTCACCCGTCAGTGGTCATAATGTTATGCCTGAACGGTACTGTTATTCTTGTATTATTTATTTACTATTAGAGTATTTATTAACATTTTAATGTGTTGTGTGTGTGTGTGTGTGTGTGTGTGTGTGTGTGTGTGTGTGTGTGTGTGTGTGTGTGTGTGTGTGTGTGTGTGTGTGTGTGTGTGTGTGTGTGTGTGTGTGTGTGTGTGTGTGTTTTAAACAGATTACAGATTAAAAAGCCCTTTTGATATTCCTGTACATTCTACAAGCCAGAAGTAAGAACAACATGCTATAAATTTCTTGTCTGACTCACTGATATTAATGGTATGAATTTGACCTTTTCCCTTTCTTATTTGGCTCACATGACCCTTTGTATTTTCAAACCACCAAAAGGCATCTTGAAGTACTGTGAAGACACATCTAGATTACAAATGCTTGCAAAAAGAGCATTTCAAAAAGCCAAAAAGCATGGCTCCTTCATGCACAAGTTAACAACTCCACTGAAGCATTGAGGCTTTTATGTCAAGTTAGATAAGGAAAAAAACTTTAAAACGCATGTACTCTGAGTGAGAAAGCAATAGAACAGATTTGGCACAGTACAGAAAAAAAATAGATTTTTTTGTTTGCTTTGAGATGTAATAGAAAGCATGTAAAGGAAACAAAGCCTATTTAAATCAAATACAATCTGTGTCACGCTGAGACTTCCACAGATGTCCTTTCACTGTTTTTCTTCATAAATCGTGGTCATTCAGTTCTTACTTCAAAAAAGCATAAATTTGACAGTAGCCTATTTTTACGGAAACAATAACTAAACATTTACAAGTTTTCATCATACACATATGGCAAGGTAACAAATTAACAGGTTTTTACAGTAGCATTTTAGTCTTTTTCTGTATAAATGTAAAAAAATAAAAATAAAAATAAAGTGTAGTTGCTTAGTTTAAATAAAACAAAATGGAATTAATTATTTGAATGGACCACAGTTGCTTTACCCTGATGATCTCCATAAGATTATTTAGCAAAACTCTAGTAAGTATAGCAAAGCTTCTGGGAGACAGCAGAAGGTTCACTGCCCTGTGCTAGAAGAGCAGAGGGGTACACACATTTAAGCAAATGTAATGAAGCCAATATGACACTGTAAACTCAACAGCAGCACCGGGAAAGACACGTTCTTTCTTTCCCGAATCCCCTTCATACATCCCTCTTTGTGACTGTGACTTCAAATGATCTTTTGTTACTAAATCCTCATTAATACGATAATATCAATCGACACAATCTCCAAAGACAAATGTAGAACATTTAAGTTATTAATGGCTAAACTATGAGCTGTTTTCCGATCTCAGCATTACATCTCTTTTAACCTGTCCCTGAACCCAATCTCTAAATTAGTAGAAGTTCCACCTGTGGCATTCAATCGGCACAAAGTCCAATGGACAAGAAAATGCAAGTGTTCTGACAGGGTGTGATACAGTGACAGGTGTAGGGATACCTGTTTGGTCCACATCTGTTTTCCATTTCGTGCATTCCAGGGATCCATACTGACAGGATGCTCTGCGCTTTTCATCCATCATGAGTCACCGAAGCCTTATCTTATACGAGTGTATAAACAAATCCTGACTTGGTTGAGATATGGAAAGCAAGAGAGAACGCTAAAATGATGCAGCGGATCCAGCGGTTCTCTTTACTGAGGAAAATAGCGACGGCAGAGGAAGGATTACTTGGACATCATTACTGCTGTTGAACTCCCGTTCCCGACTCGTTGGCGACATCGTGTGGTCATTGGAATAACAACAACAACACAATTCAAGTCAGGATTCCTTCAAGTTTTGGCCAGTATCATAATAAACGCTTCTTCTTCTTAGAAATACATAATGTTTGTTTCTATTTTATTTGTGGTAAAAGTTCTATACATCATAACTGTGTGAATAAATCTGGATCCAAGCTTATTGCAGGGGTTTGCAGTTTTTTTTCCCAGTCATTTGAAAATGCTACATTTATTTTTAACATATGCTTTTTCAAATTCAAATCACAATATTTACAAAACCAACAACTGTGCAAAATGTTGGCATGAATGAATTCCATAAAAATAAAAGATATAGAGCTCAATTAGTTTGGCTAATTATATTATTGAGATTATATTTGTTCTTCAAAATAAATGGAAACTGGAAGAAAAAAACAAAATACTGTAAAGAGAATCACGTGAGGAAGTCAGATAAAAATATTTGCACCATTAATTGTTGAAAGAAAGATTTTCACTCACGACCAGATTAATGCACAACACAACCTTTCGAAGATTGAACTATTTGTGTAACAATAGTGCTGTTCTACACATAAGTCACAGACAGTAAGACAAATGTATATCCACTATGCTTTAAACATCCACTAATTTTAAACATAATGTTTTTGATGATGCAAAACATGTAATTCTCATGAAACTCCAAATGTAAACAAATATCATCATCAAATGTCATCATATATGTATCAAAGAAGTGCAAATCATGGGGGTCGATTAAGGTAATGTCAGTTTCTCTGAAACACTTGGTCAAATGGCATACGGTGCAGACTAACTACTGCACATCATTTCTGCATTATATTGTAATAAAATATTTTTTTTCTGGTGGAAGGTTCTGATGAAAGACTTGGCAAAACTTGGCGTGGAGAATTCTCTCTTTCACATGCACTTCATTTTTACACATTAAGGAACAGGTTCATTGTTAATGCAGAGAACAAGGTCAAACAAGTTCAACTAACTCTTAAGTCTTTGAGAAACTCAATACCATGACTACATTTAGTGTTAGTAAGTTAGCCGAGTTGGAGATTAAAATACTTCCTGGATTGATCAACTTGTGATTCACAAATGAAAGTACATAATGCAGTAAAACCTGCTTGGTGGTGAAGTGTCTTAGCTGATCATTTGATCACATACAGACACTACTGAATACTGCATTGTTTAAAACACAATACACATATTCCAAGAGTCCAGAACTGGCCTTTATGTTTGCAGCAACATCTCTATCCTGATCTTTGATCATTTAGTCGATTATTCCCGCAAACGTGTTAATGGGCAAAGGCAATCCTTTGCTCATGTATTTGTTCAGTCCAGCATCGATGTCGTCCTCTGTCATGAACTTTGACTTTAAAGATTTTTGAATATAATATCCAGGGTCTTGACACGGAGAGACCTCAATGCTGTGTTAGAAAATGTAATAAAATACAAACAAATCAATAACAAATCAATATCACTTTAAGACCAGAAAAAGGCCAGTCAGTAAGAGTTTTTAATATACTTTTATTCAGCAAGGATGCAATAAATTGATAAAAAGTGACAGTATAAAGGCACGTTGTCACACACATTTCTATTTCAAATAAATGTTGTTCCTTTAAACTTTAGTTTGAACAGTTTCAACTTCGGTGTTTGATGTTTCCTGAGCACCAAATCAGCATATTTAAATGATTTCTGAATTATCATATTGCACTGAAGACTAGAGTAATGGAAAATTCAGATTTGCCATCACAGGAATAAAAAAATATATATATATTTTAGAAAAAAGAAATTTTAATTAAATTGTAATAATACTTCATAATATGACTCGTTTTACTGTATTTTCAATCAAATAAATGCAGGCTTGTTGCGTAAGAGACTTCTTAAAAAAAAAAAAAAAAAAAAATCTTACTGACCCCAAAACATTAAACAAAAGTGTAGGTGATGGATTGATTTCTCACCTCTCAACATTCATAAATTTCCTTCGAAAGTCTTTGTCCAAACGCACTGTGAAAGTTGATTTGTCTGGCGTCTTCAATTTAAAATTGCATGTTCTGATCTTTGTCTCCTTATAACAAAAATAACAGCATAAATGTCCAAACTTAATCAGGTATAATTTGCATTTCCTACTGTAAAAAACACTTCACAGTTGCAGTCCAACAATGTAAAACATCTTAGAGTTACATATGTATTACGCGTCCTCGCGGAACCTGGTGTCTGAGGCACATGTAACATCAAGCCAATCATTGGCCGACGCAGTTTGATGGCGTTGCAAGGTGCACCTTAGAGTTTAAGAAGGGCGCCTGACAACACATCAGATTTGTATTTTCTGAAGAAAGACACACAGGCATGCCCAAAGCATGGAAACATAGTTGGTATCGACGTCCCCATAGCTTCAGAATCTGATCCAGTGTCTCGTTCCCTTCTAAGGGAACCGGGATTACATATGTAACCCTAAGACATTCCTTTTCGAGGGAACTCAATGCTGCGTCAGATTCTGACGCTATGGGGACATCAACACCAACTACGTTTTGCTGACCAATGCCTGCCCTCTTGTAGTTAGAACCAATCTAGCAACCTAGGTCTAGGCACTAACTCGAAGGCCTCAGCCCTGAGCCAATAATGCGTCAGAGGGTGAGTGTTACACACCTTGATGGCTCCAAGTATCTATTATAGCAATGTAAGGAAAAGCCCTGAAGTTTCTGACCAAATTAAATGAGGATCTCAAACTAGTCCGAGCCATGCTCCAGGAGAGTCTAGATCCCTAGTCTAGTAAATCAACATAGCCTTGGCCTAAGTCCATGACCCACATCAAGACCAACCATATGCTGGGACAATGAGAAGGAACATAACCTTGATTACTATCCAGTCCTGGAGAGAGGGTGACAGACAAGAGAGTATAACAACTGTTATTCAGCCATCTCAATCATCTATCCAGCTCTACTTCTGAAAGTGAGTACCTACATAACCCAACAAGGGGAGCGCTTAAACCACTCTGGACTCATGAATACTTTATCAGGGAGCCGAATAGCAGGCTCATCTGGCTTTAGTAAACCAAACTTAGCTTAGCTTCAGGGTAAGGAATGGGCCCAATCTCAGTTTAGGCCACCCCAATCCTAACATATTTGAGGGGGCCACAAGCGGCAGGTTCAACCAGATGCCATTCCCCCCTTCTTAAAGGAGAACTCCGGCGCAAAATGAACCTCGGGTGTAATAACACATTGGTACAGACTAAATCGTTCCCTGAGATTTGTTTTCATGATAATCGAATATAAAGAGTTTTATCTCTAAAAACAGTTTAGCTTATAACGCTAGTATATTGGGCATCGAGTAAGCAAAAAGAGATCGCTAGTTAATACCATTAACAAGGCTCAAATTAGCCCCACACTAACACGGCAGCATAATGAGTGTCCTTACATGCAAACCGAAGCATTGAGAACTTTGTAAGTGTATAGACAGTTTAATAAGAAGATACTTTACACAGACAGTACAGTTAGCGCATACAGACAGGAGCCATCTTGGAAAACAGTCTCGATCAATCGAACCACGAAGGTGAGCGAACAGTACGTGTAGATATTGAAGATAAGATAAATTATATTTATTTTTTTATTTTCTCTGTTGCGTTCAGTGCTTCTCTTATGCGCTCAGTGCTTTCTTCCGGAAACAACGGACCATATGAGATTCCAAGTCACAGTTCAGCTCACGTATCATCGTGTTCGTGGTTTGACTGATCGAGACTGTTTTCCAAGATGGCTCCTGTCTGTATGCGCTAACTGTACTGTCTGTGTAAAGTATCTTCTTATTAAACTGTCTATACACTTACAAAGTTCTCAATGCTTCGGTTTGCATGTAAGGACACTCATTATGCTGCCGTGTTAGTGTGGGGCTAATTTGAGCCTTGTTAATGGTATTAACTAGCGATTTCTTTTTGCTTACTCGATGCCCAATATACTAGCGTTATAAGCTAAACTGTTTTTAGAGATAAAACTCTTTACATTCGATTATCATGAAAACAAATCTCAGGGAACGATTTAGTCTGTACCAATGTGTTATTACACCCGAGGTTCATTTTGCACCGGAGTTCTCCTTTAAGTTTTAGTTTGAAAGCAACCTCCTGCAACCCAAGAAGGGCTGATGGGGTTTGGGGTGTTGGATGTGGAGACTGGAAGAAAGGGAAGAAAAACAAGAAAAGGTATAAAATGAGGTGAGAGCTTGGGCAGCGCCTTTTCCCCGCACTCACAGCCCTCAGATCTGTGTGTGGTTTGTTCCTATTACAGCACCTCTGCTCTCCACTCCTCGGAGAGGAGTCTCGGGCCGCCACACTCGCCTTCTGCTTCTTTCTCCAGGAACTTCTTCCTGGTGAGGAAGCAGACGATTTAAGAGGAGACTTGACCCGGCGAGGGATATCCTTCCCAAAGGCGGCCGGACTGTGTTTTCGCCTCTCTAAACCTGGCCACCACCATCTCAACTGCAGTGCCAAAAAGTTCAGAGGCCGATACAGGGGCATCAAGGAGGACCGTTTTATCACTCTCCCTGATGCCTGACAAATAGGGTTGGATATCGGTTGGGTTTTATCCGATTCCAGTACCTACTCTGTATTTTTTAAACGGTTCCGGTGCTTTAACGGTTCTTGAAACGGTACTTAAGAAAACGAAACCGCACACACTTTGTCAAAAAATAATACCCCTTTATTTACAGGGCCAAACTGGACACAATATTAACTTATATCTTTAAACAATATAAATACAAGTAACATATGGTAATAATAAATAAACCAATTTAAAATAAAAATTCACATTACATAATATCAAATAAAACAATATTGTATCAAACAATGTAATAATACTGGAGATTAATAGAGATTACTACCTGGGTAATCTAATATCGGCATGGCTACAGGTTCCCATGTTTTGTCTGCTTGAACCAGTCATGTAAGTTATCTGATCATTGTACTAGTTACGCAGCGCTTAGCTTGGCAAGTTTGGTATTTCGTTCCCACTGCGTCTTAGCTACGCAGCTTTGAGTAAACTTATGAAAGAGAACATCTCTGGTTACTGGTGTAACCCATGTTCTCTGAATAGGGAACGAGATGCTGCGTTCACTGCCAAACTCCTCGCGCTGCCGACAAGCTTCCTTTTTCGGTAGAGAAATCTGAGGAGCAGATGATGCGCGCGCTAATACAATACGATGATGTGAGCATAAGGCGGCGGCCGCGCCATCAGCCAATGGATTGGAGTGAATCGTGATTCTATATGGGCTTCAGACAATCGTTCTGACG